GTGTGAGGTAATGAGTAATTGAATGTATGCGGACAAAATTTTGTTGGCCACGTGAGACGTGAGCTATAGGGTTGTTATAGAGCGACTGTTGAAATTAAGTGTATCGTAAAGTTGTATTCGGAAAGAATAAACCAGTTTTATTTAAGAAAGGACTTGTGTCGCTAAAGTTTAGTCGGAAATAATTTACGGAAAATTAACGAACGACTGGAGGCGTAACTTAAATAACTTTTAAAAGAGCATTTACAAAATGTAATAATGGTCAAGAATTGTGAAAAGCAAGCAAAAAATACTATGAATAGATTGGATTAAATAAGGCTACTTACTATGTCATGATATATGCAATTTTCAAAAAAAAACATTACTTAAATTTCTCGTACATTTTTCTTTATCTATTATTATTACCTTCCATTCCTCTAAGAGAGGATTTGAGAGATAACGATTTTATCTGACGTACACAAATGTACGTGTACAAATATGGTTCCTTTGGTGCAAAGATGTTAGTCACAAAATGTGATATAGCGGTATAAAACTAAGAGAGTAGTTATAAAACTAAACCCCCTTTCCTTCTTATACAGATGTTGATTGATTCACCGAATTCGGACCAAAATGTATGATTATCTTCGTTTTCTATGCTGTTGACTGTCGTTTAGACGTTATTGCGCATACTCTGACAGTAGAGAACACGCACGTGGCTAATAAACATAGACAATAGTTTACATATCCATGAAGGTTATAACCCTATATCAGTGTTTCTCAAAAGGGTTGAAAGCAGGTTTCCAGAGGGGGTTGCGAGCTGTCTGTGCTGAGTCAACCATTTTCTTTTTTGAGTCCTCGAGGTGCACATATCTATCACCTTTGTTATGAACTATGACAAACTGCACCAAGAAACATGAAGAATTTTATCATCCTTGTGGAGACGACCAACGCCCGGACATGAGGGTCGTCTGGCAGATCTGGTGAGAAACACTGTCCTATATGGAGGCCGAATTGTTAAGAATGTGCTTTGACAAATTGAGTCCAGATTAACATTGTTAAATAATAAAGTGAAGTAAGTTAATTTTAATGTCTGTTGAAAGTCTCCACAATTTCCTTAATTACGTAGGATTTATTATTTTTCTGTATATATCGAACAAATTTGGAATAATTAGATCGTTTTTCTTTTTTAAATTTTGCAATTCTCGTGAGGGTGCCCTGTGGTATAGCTCTAAATTCCGGAGTGGTGAGCATGTTCGAATCCGTGTAATACCATAGAAATATTCCCCGCGCTTTAAACTGTGGGTGCGTTATAAGAATGACGGTCAATTCCCTAGCGTAGATAATGCGTGGTAGGGTATTGCTAACTGGCTATCTTTTCTCTGATGAGTAGTTCAAAATTAGAGACTGCGGCAGATAACCTTCGTAGCTTTGCTATAAATTGTTTGTTTTTTGAATTTCGCGTAAAGCTACACGAGGGCTATCTGCACTAGCCCTCCTTAATTTAGCAGTGTAAGACTAGAGGGAAGACAACTATTCATAACCACCCACCGCCAACTCTTTGGCTACTCTTTTACCAACGAACTGCCAAAAATACAAAATGTAAATGGTTCCAGTGTACCCTTATAACCACTGGTATCTGGAAAAAACCGGTCCCTCGAACTTGAAGCTTGTAAATCACGAGGGATATTCTGGCGTGTTTTTTACACATGATAGTACAGATGTTATTTCATTTGAAGGCAAATAATATTTAGTTCTTCCAGATCTATTCGAAATCTCACTTTCCTAAAAATTAAATATGGAAAATGATTGGTCCTTAAATTCAAAAATAATTTGAATGATACATCTCTTGCACGTGATCACCAATATTCTATTAGATTACTCTCAATGCTGCTCAGATGTTTAACAGTTTTACCTAGAGGATTGGGAGGAGGGGCATGAGTGGGCCATACCTACATTTATTCTAACTTACATTGTATTCAGACCGTGACGAAAACTTCTACGCGTATTTTCTTATAACTGTGAGATATAAATAATATACAATAAATAAATAAAATGAGAGTTCAACCTGCGAATCTTCACGAAGCACTGTTATGCAGAATTTGTCGTTGACTGTTCAGCCGACGCCTGGTGGTTCAGTAGTAGGTTTACGAACGAACTACGCTAAAATTCGGGGTTCGATTTACCCACGACGGATAGTGCAGAGAGCTCGTTGCGTCGCTTTGCGTAAAGAAAGCTACAACACTGACTGTTCAGTTGTAAAATGTCGTGCGGTTTTATTGAGTTCGCTTCTTACTTGTTAATGAATTGTGTAATGAAACAAAATGTTCAGTTGGCGTGCATTTCTTTTTGTTGGTGTGGTTAACTATCACATACATGAATTCTTAAACTTTTGAGTTTGTGCAGTGAAAACGATTCTGATTAAAACTAAATTAAGAATATTTTCTTAGAAATTTTCCTTTTTCTTTACCACACTTTTTAAAATTTGGGATTGAAAATGCTTTGATAGAACCTAGTATCATTTTAGGTTATAACGAGTTTTATAATAGTTCGAAATAAGAAAATTTAACAATTACTTCTTTGGGCGACATTGCTCTGCACAACGAGGGAATGCCTGTTTTGTTAGTGTTAGGTTTATCAGTCGACCTTGCACAACTAGTTTTTTCATTTCTCTGTGTATTTATATCTGTTCTTCCGGATTTTCCATCACTGTTCCTTGTGCATTACCTAGAAAACAAGCATGATATATCTATTCGTACACGATTTTCATAACAATGACTAACTCGGCTTCACCAGAAGTGACCTGACAGAATACTTTATTCATAAGGTGAAAACATCTTAAATGTCATATTTCAAGTATAAACTGCTAAAAATAAGCATGATAATTCATTTACAAACTGAAATCCAACAAAATTAAAAGCCTGAGAAAGGATCCATAAAATGTTATTTCTTCCACCCTACCCTTCGTGCCGAGCGCAGCAAAGTGATTAGGGTGCCAGACTATGGATCTGAGGTTCCGTGGTTCGTGTTATCTCCAAAAAAAAAGAAAAATCGCGTTCTGCACCTTGGGACCGTGAGTGTGTTATAAGAGTGGCAGTCAAATCTCACTATTCGTTCGAACAAGAATTGGGGTGATGTCTTGCTGCCTTTCCTCTGGTATATCATTTCAAAACTGGAACGGTTAGTGCAGGTAGCCCTCTTATAGCTTTGTGCGAAGCTAAACAAATATACACACATTTTTTTATGAACTTGACAGACGATCTCGTCTGGAATCCCCGAGTATCTTAATGGCATAGAGTTTAGAAGGTATCGAACGAATGTGTATGTATTACACACACACACACACACAACAAAACACAATTTATTACACACACACACACACACACACAACAAAACACAATTTATTACATAATAAACAGTTTAAAGGACTTAGTGAAGATTGGAGACATTTTCTATGTACTAAAGAAAGAGAAAAAACACTTCCAGACAAAAATAACAATTTATCTGAGCCACTGCTTCATTACCATCGGTCCTGTCACGTGGATTAGAATTACCTAAAGTGATTACTTTGACTACACGTGTACGTGATCAGCTTGTACGTTCTTTTGTATTTTTCAAACTTTAGCCCTGATAAAGCTGTAATGGCTTAAAAAACTGTGCTTTTATCTGGAGAAGTAGGTCATGTTTTGATTTCTCCTACAGCGTTGTGGTAAAATTTCAACCTTATTAATGTGTTTAAAATAAACACCTGAATAATAAATTCATCTAAAATTATAGTTTGATTGAACAAGTTAGTCCAGGGACTGATCTGTTTAAAAGTCCTTAGGCTTCACCTTACGATTGGACTGAATGTGTTACGAGTCACTAATTCTTTTAGGGTTAACTCCTATGGAAAGGATTCTTCGGTGATCTTTAAACGTGTGTGTGTGTAATGTTATCTGTATGATACTATCAAATATTCAAATTTTACATACATTTTACTATCTGTTTCTATCAGTGTTTCTCAGTCTCGATTTTGTAATGTTCCCGAAATTTTCCAGGACTTTCTGGACAAATTTGGCTACCTCCCACCATCAGGTTTTCAGACGGAGAACTTACGAACAGACGAACAGCTTAAAGATTCCATCAAGCTAATGCAGAGGTTTGGAGGAATCAACGAAACAGGCGTAGTCGACCAAGCAACGATCAAACTGATGAATAGAAAAAGGTGTGGCATGCCTGACCTGATTGGATTGTCTGATCGGGCGAAACGATATGCAATACAAGGTCAGAAATGGGAGAGTACAGACCTCACGTGGAGGTTAGTCTTGCTTTAAATATACAGATATCTAGATAGAATATAAATATATATTTAAGTTGCTCAGAATATATCGAAATTTATGTAACATAAACGCTAATTCGGAATGGAGTAGTTATGATTGTTATACATAACATTTTTATAAGGATAATATTAATTTCAAAAGTACTCCCACAAAGAATGCAAGTATCTGAATGGCATGATACCACAATACTTTGTGTGAATAAGGCCAGCTATTCTGACGTGATTGGAAGATAAAAAATTAAGGAATATATCACATTGTCGTTTTATGGCATTTTGTAATTTAACTGTTTATTGATTAATAAATGTTCTCATTTAGGAAATTTTGTTGAAATAAATCACTTGTAATACTCACTTAATTACAGGATAAAATATGTAGACATTAACTTGTTACAGATCGAAAATAAGATAATACATTAATAATATCACTCGGTTTCGATTTATTTGTTTTAGAGCAGAGCCACATTCGACTATTTGATGTGTCCACCGCAGGGACTCATACCCAGATTTTAGTATTGTAAGCCCATAATCTTACCACATTCACACCGGGGGACTAATATCACTCGCATATAAGAGCGTATTAAGGATCTTCAGAAATTTACCTGCTTAATATTTGAACCTTCTTTGCCATACGGACACTGCTTTTAAACATCAAAGTTAATATCACAACTTAAAATATATGATCTATGGAGTAAAAGAAATCCTTATACATATTTGTATTGCGAAAGAACAACAATAAAAAGCTAACGATTCAAAAGACAACTTAGTAATTTTTTTTTGGGGGGGGGCTCGCAATTGTATTGGTCTCCCTTTCTGATAAAACATTGAAAGATTGTAAGTTAAGAGGAAGGACTTACGGACAAATAATCTCTACTGTATGTTTACGATCTTGATGTTTGAATTTCACGTAGTTATCTTAAATATCAATCGAAACATATTGTTATTACTATTATTCAGAACAAGCCAAGAAATGGGAATTACTCCATAATTAAACGATCATCGCCTATTGTCGTTTGTGATAATCATAGAATATTCGTAAACAGCTCAAAGTAGTAGTTTGCGCAGAGTGTTAACCGTGCCGGGCTGTGGATCTGAAGCTCCATGGTTAGTATATTGTTACCACACACACAAAATAATAATAAAGATCGCGCTCTGCACTTTGGGGCCGTGGTGGGTTATAAGAGTAACAGACAAATCCTACTTTTCGCTTGGAGTAGCTCAACATTTGGCGGTGGGTAGCGTGGACTAGATGCCTTCCCTGTAATCTATCACTACAAAAAAAGGGAGGGCTAGCGCAGAAAGCGCTCAATTAGCTTTGCGCGAAGTTCAACAAACAAGTGTTCGAATGAAAAGTCGATTCTAATTATATTCAATCTTAGCTAAAATTATTTAAATACATTTTCACACAGGGGTCGTTCAAAACATCCTGGAAGAAAGTGATATGGTCTTATAAGTGACTTGACCAATGGTCATGCTGAAAGACAGGGATAACTTAACGTTAAATTTTAGTATGGAGTTAATCTTTTATTTGGTACAATGTGACATGACAGTATGTTGCATGAAGAATACGACATATCTAGGTTATGAAATGGTTCATTTATTTATTGAATTTTACGCAAACCTACTCGAGGACTAACTGCTCTAGCCTTCCCTAATTTTGAATTGATATACAAAAGAGATGACAGCTAGTCAACAACACCCACCGCCAACTTTTGGGCTACTATTTACCAAACAAATAAACGGTTAAACATTGAGCATGTTCATGACGGTATTCGATCCCACCACCCGTTAATTCCGAGTCGTGCCGCCCAAACCACCAGGCCATGCCAGAACTTTCATAAAAAAAGAGTAATAAGAACGTGTCGTCTTGAGCTTGTACAGGCATTTCAGTCTGTCGACGGTCAAAATTTCCCAGAGTGTATATTGTATCCTGATATGGCTTATAGAGGAAGGTGATCTGTGTGTTCGGCCAGAGAAAGGAAGGAACTGCTGAAAGTGTTGACGTAGGTTATACTTAATTTTGAAGTGTTTATAGCACTTGTGTCAAATAATAGGTACTGCCAGAATCTTGACAACGTTAGAGATATCAAGAGAAGGATGATCTCTATGGTCAGTATATACCATGAGGAAGAATAATGAATAATTTCTCTCTTTTGAGTTGAAAAAAAACTACAAATTTTAATGTTGCTAAAATGCTTGCTGACGTAACAGAAGTTATATCATCCTTTTAACAGCTGCTAATCGGCTAAGAATATAACGAAAAACAGACACTCTTCAGTGTGAACAGGATTTTCTTCATTATTAATATCTGTATTTCGTGGTAGCTAGTAGTTGTGACCACTTTCTCTGTCTATCACTAGCCAAATAAATTTTCGTTTGAAACACTGATGTTATTGCGTAGAACAGTAAGTCAGCCCTCGAAACACAAATTCCGTACGAACTATTCCTGGGCCAGACTTAATTTTAAGATTCTCTATAATATATACCATTGTAATTTTCTGTAAACTTGACACACGTGGACAAATTTTTCGTGACCAAATTATTTATTGTCGAATTCTTTAATCACTTTGTTTTCAAATCTTTATCATTCCATCCTCACTATCTTCAATTTATCCCGCATTCATTTGTTGGAGTAATTACTGTTGGAGTAATAACGGTGAACACATAGTCAGGCCTGTTAACTTCCCGATTTCGGCGGGAGTTTCCTAATATGGAGTCCTGTTTCCCGATCTCCCGACACGCGACCACGATCTTCAGATATCAAGCTTTTATATAATTTATCAAAAAGAATAGGGTCGCAAAATTCAACTTCCCAGAGTACCAACCAGGATAAAGTAAATATTTACTCATTTTGTGTGACATTGTTATACTTTGTTATGTTATACTGTCTGCTTGTTGTACTACATTCCAATGCATCGAGTGAAAGGGCATTTTCAATGCTTAGAAAGATCGTAACAAAGAACAGGACTGATTTAGGGCCCTTTTAAACTGCAAGTTTAATTCAGATTCCTCAGCCAGTAAATACAAGCCCAACAAGCAGGTATTGAAAGATGCCAAAAGTGCAACATAAGAATATAACAAAGAACACCAATCAGAATATGTGTTTTTCAATTTGTTACGTCTCCGTTTGTTAATTAATTTTCCGTAAATTCGTTCCGACGAAACTTTAGCGACACAAGTCCTTTCTTAAATAAAACTGGTTTATTCTTTCCGAATACAACTTTACGATACACTTAATTTCAACAGTCGCTCTATAACAAACGCTATAACTCACGTCTCACGTGGCCAACAATATTTTGTCCGCATACATTCAATTACTCATTACCTCCGCGTCGCTTCGTGGCCGGTCTTATATATACAAGACTACACCATATCTAGTAATTTCCCGACAGTTCACAAAGGTTCGAGAAGGACGTGGCGTGATACTAATCACGTGACCTCGCTGACGCAACAAATTCTTACAATAAAGTGTATAACAATATTAGCAGATGACTGTCATTCTCTTACTATATAAGCCCACTGTAAATGAAAAGAAAATGTAATTTCAACCTTATAAATCTAAATAAATGTCAGAAGTTCCCCTGAATGTATAAAAGTGCACCTTTTTTTTTTCTAAATTTTCTGGTGGAGCATCCCCCCCCCCCAAGGACTCTACTCGCTGTTGCAGTACCTTCACAAAAAGTCTCCCTATTTGGCACCACTCAGTGTTGACAGGTATGCATAGCTAATAATGTCACTGTGTGGTCTCAGCGTAATAATCATGTGGCTTCTGGTGTTACGTCAAGCCCCATAACGGTAAAAACATGGCTGGTTGTGCCACTGTGTGGTCTCAGCTTGATAACCATGTGGCGTCTAGTGTTATTTCAAGGTCTCAGAACGATGAAAATATGGCTGAGTGTGTCACTTTATGGTCTCAGCGTGATAACCATATGACTTCTGATGTTGCTACGTGTTTTCATGACGAAATGTGTTACTACATGTCCCAGGTATATATGGCACGTAGAAACACCACCTGCCATATATACCTGCCAGGTATATATATAGCAGGTGGTGTTTCTACGTGCTCTCGATACGATAACAACGTGAATTCTGGTGTTAGTGTTACTATATGTTCTCAGTAGATGACAATGAAACTTCTGGTATTACTACATGTCCTTGTTACATAATGGGTTGTGGTACTATGTTTATTCGGTACAGTGACATTGTAACTTCTGGTGTTACATCATAATCTCGGTACATGGTGGAAGTGATGCTAATGTGTACTGCTGGTACTATGACCATATGGATTCTAGGGTTACTACATGTCCTCCGCACATGACTGTTTGGCAGATGGTGTGATTTGTGTCTTTAGTATGATGATCACATGACTGGTGGTGTTACTTCATGCCCTCAGTCCTTTTATCACTTAATAAAGATTCAAACTCGTCACTTGAATAGGGGACAGACCAATATACCGAAAAATTTTCGCCACTACTAATGGATCTTGCTTTATTCTTCTTATTGTTATTCTGCTTTTTCATCCTGTTTCTATAATAATTATAATAATATTATTATGAGAATCTTGACGTAATTTTTCAAAGTATTACAAAACTTTAATAACGGGCAACAATAATATAGGTCTCTGGAATTATCACAAATTGACCTCAAAATGTTATCGGCTTATGTCCCTAATATAACATTATACACATACTACTGTTTACCAAACAAATAAGCTGTTAAAGATTGAGCATGTTAAGTAACGGTGTTCGAGCCCGCTAATATAAAGGCCTACTTGAGTAACTACTTTTACATTCAATTTTTGGAACTATAGTCCTTCGGAATATTGGGCTGTAACCCTTGATTATGAGAGTTTATTGTTTCTTTGTTTTAGAGATCATTTTCACAGGAAATGTGTTATCCATTGTGTAAAAAGACTGTGATACTCTGATTGCTGTCAAGTAATACTTTAGTGATGTCTTTTACAAATAACACTAGTTTTACAT